GCTCATGGGTAGACGCTTGTTTGTAAACACGCCATGGCCATCTGACGCATGCGCAGGTGACAACTCCCCCGCTTTAAGTGCTATACATTTGTTATGGGTCTGGTCATATGGCTGGGAAGTGAGGGATGTCATGTGATACCAGTGCTGATTGTGACAACAAGTCACATGACTGTAGGTAATGAACACACGGTAGGATAGGTTTTAAAGCAAATAAAAATGATGTGTATTGATAGTGAGACTTGCCTAAGTTGTGGCGCCTGATAAATAATCGTATCCTCGGTTCACTTAGAGTAACTAGCATCTAGATATGATCAATATCACATTAATGTTTTAAGTACAAATATGACCATTGTGTGGAATGACCAGCCTTTAAATCTATAATGTATTTAACCTCTGAACATTTAAATTATTAGTGAATACAAAAGTGACGTATTCTAAAATTTACAGTGGTTCGAACCTTATGAAAAACTATGTGTAATCTTATTTATATTCTAATCAGGGATTTACGCCATTACGATACTAAAAGTATTATGGTCATCACAACTTGGAAGTTTGAAATGAGATACGAGTGTTCAATATATCTTATTGTTTGTGAAAGATATAGTAGCCTAAACCGTGTTAATTAAGAATGAAATTAAAATATATAAGTAGCATTACATAGGTCTAAGAATAAGTACGACTGCCAGCAGACCATTAATGATGGGTAGGAGAAAAATCATACTGAAATTTGGATAAAAATCAATACTGTTTCCATGCTAATTATAATGTAAAACGCTTTACCTCATTATAGACGTCCTACAATAACTTTCTAAAAAAACAATATTCATAATACTTACCCTAGCACAAGCCGGGCTCAGCAGATCGAGGCTTGCAAGAGATAAAATGACAATGAAAATTATTTTATTCGTGTTGAGAGTATCTGAATAAAATATGACAATATCATTGAGATTGCTTTTACATTCTCAACAAGAAATCAAATAAAATATATTTTATGATATTGAAACCGTTAAATAACTTCAGCGCTATTGAAATACAGAAATACGAAACTAACACAATTTAACAGGGAGTGGCCAATGTAGACAGTTGGGTTTTCTGTCATGCAACACTGACTGTTTCAAACATCTATAAATAGCACAGATGAATTAATTGCAAATTTACAACCTGTATTCAGGACATTACAAACATATAGTATAAAACTACACACATATTGTCTGTACTTGTATGTAGAATGTAGATGATAAACTTAAGCATTCAATTGGAGAGTTGGTTAGAATGAGTTGTGCTCCACTATGTTTACATAAAATACATAACAAGCACGCATCTATAAGTTTTAAAACAAGAACAAAATTTAATCCGTAAGTGTCATCAGTGAGGTTCAAGTAGAAGTAGGTTACTGTCGGACCAATTAAAGCGTGGAGTCGTCATTTGCGCACACGTCAGATGGCCATAGCGTGTCTTTGTTTACAAATAAGTGTCTACCCATAAGCCTTTGCGTTTTTAGCGTGTGTTGTTATCGTCGCTTGGGACCCAATGCTCGCGCGTGCGCAGGTGACGACCCCCCGCTTTAATGACTCTGTGGTTGGTATGCATTCAACGTTAGGTGATAGGTTATTTGTAATGAAGTACTGTCAAGTGTGGTCGAACGTGCGAGCTTTCATGCAACCTTTGAATATTTCATTTCTGGAGCAATTCTGTTCAGATTTAATAATTAGAATTTGGGTGATCTGATCGAAGCTGGCAGACTGCAATTTATGATCTGAAAACGCACTAAAATGCGCTTTTAATGTAGTCTTACATTAAACCATTTGGTTTCAAACTAGATATAAAGGTTGAACATACTTTTGCCACGGTCATATGTATTTTACGAATTAAGAAAAAAACACAATTCTCGTTTATGTCGAATATTACATCTATCATAAATCTGGAGAAGCACTTATATTCATCAAAGACACAATTCTGTGGAATGTATAATTTGGCACTGGTTAATACTTTTCTCATAATTTTAAGGACGGTAATGTACATGAATTAAGAAATGCTATTCATACAAAAAGTGGTCTTACTTGACTTCCTTGTACACTCGATACGACTAAATGTGTTACCTCTTGAATTGTGCTATTGGAATAAACCTAACGAGCGCATTGTTTTTTTTTTTGAAATATGTTCCATTCTATTAATGCTTTTCAACTGACTGGACATGCCTACAAGAAGTGGTGTTTGCGCGTGTGTGTGCATGTTATTCGACTTGTTCATACTACAAAAATGGTCTATCAATATTAGCTCACTATCAAAGTATCCAGGCACTTAACATATTTATTACTTAAGACAGAATACATGTAAATGAGTACAGATAAAGTACGAGTAAATCAAAAATGCTCAGAATACTATATATTATTATACATCTGTTGATACTGCCGCTGTACTGTCTTCGTGTATACTTTGCAATATCCTCGCAATAACATATTATATTGAGAAATAAATTGTACATGCAAATAAACAGACAAATTACCAAATGAATCTCAAGATTCGAATGAAAAATTGCAAAATCAATCGAGGGTTGAGTGTAAAACAAGTCAATTAGACACAATAGACAAACTTGAATGCAATATGGTTACACGAAGTGCATCATGTCCGTGCGCAATGACAGACGACAATTTCACAGTTTATACATTTGCCAACCTTCAAGAGCATAACTTATTTCAACAGAAGACCGTAACGTGCAGTCCAGCTAATCTTGGGTCAGAAAATATTACATTTATTACACAAATTTATTTATTTGTGATTATATTAAATTCCAGCTTCCCCTTGCATTGAAAATGCCTATTTTAGAACACAGTATTAACTAACATTGGGACAGTAAATATAATTATCAGTGTTAGTACGTAATACAAGGCTAAATTAATGGTAATTAAAACCTTGCATAAACAAGCTAATTAGACATACAGCTAATTCATTGTTTAGCCGTGCAGGTGTGCAAATATAATGGTATAGCTAAATTGTTGAATAAAACATATCCTTTCCTTTATTCCTTCTAACCCTTTCTAATATCTGCTGAAATCACAATAACTAGTTATTATTTCAATAATAGCACCAATGCCAAAATTCATCTATTATAGATAGAGACATTGCTGTAAACTGGCAAAGCTAATCACCACCAAATACATTGCCGTTTGCTACAAAATCTGGAACAAGAATTCCAATGACTCGACCGACTAAAAGAAGACTTCCAGTGACCAGGACTTGCACATGGTCTGCTTCCATGATACTTTGAGGTGGTGTTGGATCCTTGTGTCTTGGATGTGGTATATATGGATCTTTGCCGCAGGCTGCCCACTGTACAGCATGCATAGCACACACAAAACTCGCAGATGTGGGTTTGCTTGGCAATGCATCATATAATTCCCCTTTCATTGCCTGAAATGTGCCTCTGTTCTCTTTGCAAATAGTAAGTTCTTCTACTAGGTTCTCAAAAGTTTCTGGAATAAAATAAAATATGACCAAAAATAGTTTTGCTAGTCATTTGTGCTTAAAAAGAAATGCTTTAAAACAAACAAAATATAGTGTCTGCGCTATACAAGCGTGTGGTTTTAATTTACAAACGGCCTAGCTTAGTATATGTAGTAAAAAGCTCTCAAAATATGAGGAAAGTGCTTAGTTTATGAGGTTAGTTTAACAAGACGTTCGGTAAAAAGACAAGATTTCTACACTATTCTGCAGCGATTCATGCTTCCAAATGGCATGCATAGTTCAACAAAAAAATGGTGAGAGTAACAGGAGACCCACTGTTGTCAAAAGTCCGAATAATTGCTTATAATACCAGATATATCATTACTCCAGTAGATTTTACTACTAACAGCAGATTTTACTTGCGTTCACATTTTGTGTGTGGAAATACGTAATCTAGCTACTTTATATCAAACAGCTGGCTAATATACGAGATGTCAACTCCAATGACAGTGGTTGATTCAATTGTATCATGTCAATATTTGAACTGTGTATAGATAGGTAGTGGAAAATACTTCACCAAACAAATCGTCACACTGGAAACCTTTGGTCCAATCTCATTGGAATACCTACTATGTCTCAATATATTTTCAGTCCAGGTATATTATAAAGATTAACAACGTGAACAGAATATACAAACGAATACAACAGCAAATTTAGATCAACCCGAGGTTGTTGGCATACCAGATAATATTCCCTATGAATTCCCAGAATCTTGAGAAACTTAGAAATAAATTAGAAATATTCTGCCCCTCTATCGCTTGATAATCTACAACCATTTAATGAAGACAATACATCATTTTAATTGATATTGAAGGAACAAATGATGCCCTAAAAAAATAGTACACTGCAAAATAAGTAGGATTTACTCGAACAGTATGAAACAACTGGTTACAATGGAACCAGTACATAAACAAATGTACCAGTTTTCCACGATATATGACAAGTACGCTTATTAGCGCCAACAAAGTCTGTCATAAGTGAATCTTGAGCATTCTAGCTTTGTCAACGTGTGAATCCATGGTATGCAGACAAATACCAGACACACAAATGGCATGTGTTTGCATATCAGTTGAAAATGACTCATTTTTTTCCATCGGATGGTCACTACTACTAATGTAACTGAAGTTAACTGGTAGATAATACAAGTAGTAATAATGCAGATTATTATACATTGCAATTCAATTGTTAGCAGTGACGTTTATATGTTGTGTGAAAACTTTACTAATTGCTTACTTTCTACTAAATCGTCTACATCAGTGATGTCTGGGCTGAAGGCAGTCGCTGCGAAGTTACATTGCCCCAGGTGCTCCAATAATAATTTAGCATCCCTGCCATGCGTAACATTGAATATCAACACTTTCGCAACACGATTCCTGTAATTGAAACATTGTATCAAGCAGTGTGGGTGAAATATTTTTAGCGTGAACACGTAAGGCTTTGAGAGAATATTCTGTGAATACAATTCAGATATTCACATACATGCACAAATGAACACTCCATTTATGATTAAGAAGTTTACCGTTAATGTGTAGCAGTATAAAACGTAGCCATACTGTTATGTTGATCAGAATGGTCATTACGCGGCTGCTTTTTCAGGTGAGACAATGACAGCCTTTCTAGAAAGCTTATTAATAACATTCGTTTATTTATTTATTAATTAATTGAATTAATTTATTATTTTTTAAATTTATTTATTTATTATACAAAAAATCACAAAGACACTGACGAAACGATCACTTCAGTTCGAAGATGGTAAGTGCCAATTATCTTTATTATTGCTCTGTACGTTCAACTGTGGTTTTTTGCAGATCATGTTCATGTACAATCAATTACGCACTGAATATGCATTAAAAAAGAATCTGTTGAATGTACATTTAACAATCGATATATACTTTAGAGTTTGCTTTTCTTCTGCCGATGCTTCTTTAAACCACTTAACACCAGCCTTCATACTCATTGGTGTATGGGCTCCATCCAGATAGTATGTAACATTGTCATGTTTTACGATTTGTGTACGCCCTGGCAAGCAACAGTCGCGAAGTCCTTTGGAATCAGAAACGATAAAAATTATTACAAGTTATTGAGAAAGGAAAAAAGAAAGGGAAACTGATTTATTCTTATGATTATTGGATTTTATATTTCCCAGTTATTCACTAGTTTTTTTAAGAATATAATCATTAATTAATTCAGCTAAAATAAATATGCATACATCTCTATAACAATATTTGTTCATGTATCTGTCAGCCTGTGGTTATTCTATCAATAAGTGCTTTTTGAATTATAATTGTAGTCTTCGCTAATCAGTCACCAAATTAAATGATCTCTTTGTTAACCCAAACCAAAGGTTGATAAAACCTTTAAAATAAAATAAAACAATAAATATTTATTTCCAGCGTTAGTTTTCACACATTGATGACACAAATTAACAGCGAATGTTTTGCGTTCCCTTAAGTATGGTTTTGAAAAAAAAATCATCATGCATGCAAACATGCACTTCAATACTCTCCCAGCAAGATTTTCTTCGTTTGTTTTTGATAAGTGGTTTTGAATTATGCATAAAAAACGTCAATGATAGAGACGAATTGCAGTATTCAATACTGAGTTGTGTAAGCATAAACAGCATGTCAATCATGTTATGATTGCTCTATAAATATATTCTGATTTTATGAATGGAATTTAGGCATTTTCTATTCGTATGTGCATATTAGACGTATGCATGGTAATGTAAAACAAATATTTAGAAAGAATGTTTTTTTATTCTACATCGAAATTAATATCTAACCAAACTATCACCATAGCTTACCTGATATAAACGTGGCTGGTAACTTGAATGCTGAAGCTGTCTGGATGTCGCCATCCATGCTATATGTATTGGTACGTCCAAACCCTGCTCTCTTGTTGGAGTGATCTAGTAGAGTAAAACGTCTATAATTTTATATAGATCATTAGCAAGGGGGAAATTAACTAAGTAGTATATTGTTTATTCAAATTAAAAACAATTTTTTTTCTTTTGTTTCGTGTTACTGAAAACCTTGACAACCAATTCAAGTATATAAAATAAAATGTTATACAATTGAAATAAGAACATTTTGCAAATGTGTAAATGTTTTTATTTTTCATGTTGTATATATGCAGGTTATACTGCAGATAATGTGATGTATTTTTGTTGGTAAAACTATCTTGAAATGTCATAACGAAGATACTATTCTCACATGGGTAATGAAGTTAGGCCAGTCAACAAGACCGTCATATCAAATGTTCTAGCTTATGAATTCTAATAGTGAGAAGGTTTGTTAAACTCAGGGGAGGAATTACGATTTGATAAACATCAATATATGATGTTTAATATTATTACTACCACGCCACTTAGATCACATGTGCTATATGTAGCTATACTCAAGGTTGTTTTTGTATATGAGAGTTTAAGAACTTTTGAACGGAAGCTGGTTAAAAATCATTTGCAAGCCGAGTGGGCTCGAGCAACTCAATAAGTTAGTCGATACATCCACCAACAGTTTGAGATATAGTATGCTTCTCTACTTACAAAATAATCATTTCGATGTAAAACAAACATTAATAAACAAACGGACGCTCAGAGCAGTATATTATGTGTACCACTCGAAATGAAATAGATTCAAATATGATATAAAAGAAAACATAATTGAATGACGCATTCATGTCAATTCTAATTTTATTAGCACGTGATGCTTTTGCATAATTGATAATTCAACCAATTACATTCATTGTATGAATGCATGGCTGCACAATACGAAACATGCTGGGGTCTCATGCAGTCATATATAGTGGGAGCTCGTGATGTAAAACAATAGTTTAGAAAGAATCCTTCTGTACTATTATGTAAACTACACCCTAAATGGATACTTTGATGTCAATGGAACATCATTTGTAACACAGGAAATGTGTAATATTAATGTTTAGGCAATATCAATCAAAAGAACGTGGTTACCAGTAATTCAAATGCTAAAAATGAAAACTTAAAGTAGCATACAAGTCTCATTCGTGGATGAATCAATTAGTTAGCATCAACGTTACCATGAAGCAAAGGAAACATATCACGTGAACATGTATGTGCAACATAAGTACGTACGTAGGTTATGTTCTTCTATCCATGTTCTACATAACTGTATTGCTAAAGATGCGTTAATACGTTGATGTTCGCCAGCAAGTCCAAGCTTCATTGGCTTCCCTTGCCAATCGTAATCATCCAAGTCGGGCACAATCTGAATCGTCGCCTGTAAACATAACAGCTATGAAAAAACTGTTTTTTTTTTGCCGAATGACAATAGTGAATAATATGACAGAACCCCACACCCTGCCAGTGGCTTTCGTTGCGTGTGAAACTTATTTTCACGAGTGATGCGGTGTATCCTGCAGCCGTACTTTCACGAGCGAAGCGAATACACCGCATCTTGAAAGCCACGGGCAGGCTGTGGGGTCTGTTATTATTACATATGTTCCATATTTGATTATTTCATATTAAAGAAAAAACGTGCAACAAACCGGGTGGATTTTAGGTCGGGGAACCCCATTGCCCATTAATATGTTCCAAGATAGTGATACGGCATAGCAACTGTCACTGTGTGAAAATAAAATAATCAGACGTCTAATTTGATTCACTGCCCGAATAAATAACTCGTGGACGTTTAGTTGGGACCACGACAGAACCAGAACTGGATGACTGTGATACACAGTTTAACATGTTCCTCCACAGATCTGTGCATTGGCAAACGTGCCGTGCAGCTGCGGTACTACACTGACAGAAAGACTTTCGTCGACAGCGGCCGGCGCTGAGCCGCACGCCATAACTGCGTTTGTGATGTTGCTTGCTGGTCGTGGATTGAAAGAGTCTTGGTTTCCGGATTAAATGTTGCTCATTTGGCGTTGGTGATCTTTATTTGGAACTGAGTATTGGTTTAGACTGCTGACATTTTTGTGTCCACTTAGATGTGCTGCCGTGTTTGGTGTTACACCAGCGTCAAGGAGACGTTGAACACAGGTTTTACGTGCGCTGTGGTTACTCAATTTGCCAGTTAACTCTGTTTCTTTCAACTTCGACTTCATGAACGTAGTCACTTTATTTATGGCCATAGGTTGATTTCGCAATCATATTCCCCTAGCAATGGTACATGGGACATACTCAATTCCAATATAGAATGGCGCTGAACTGCAGTTCATTATGTTTGGTCGATGAGCTGCGTACACTGTCAATCTCGGAAGCACTTTCATGTTTGTCATTAAAACACACCGTTTTAATTGAAAACACACTGTTGTAATTAAAAACATGTGTATTATATAATAAAAAACACTAGTATTTTCTATCAAAACAGTAGTGTTTTACTCTTTTTAGAAAAGTATTTTGGGGAGTTATTGAAGCACTTTTTGATGAAAATTAAGCACATTGTAAACACACAAAAACACACTTTTCCGAAATAAAATACTAGGTGTTTTACGGTGACATAAATGTGTAATTAAAGTGTTTGCTGATAGAACAATTAAGGACTAATGCATCCACCTTTATGCAAAATTGAGTAGACAATCATCGAAAGTGATTTCCTCCAGAAAATAATTGCATGTCACGCACCAACCTATATGGTCTCACCAACCTAAGTACAACTAGAAATCGAGACATGTGGTGAATTAAGTACCGCGTGGCCTAACGGATTTTATTAATCCGCATTTGGTGAACGGTGGTTGTAGTTCCAATCACATCTGAGCATTCTCAACATGTGGTTTAAACATGTGATATTTCTCGAAAAATGCTCAATTTGAACCTCTTCAGAAAGCAAAATAAATGTTAATGTATAATAAGTGTTAATCTATAATACACATTTGTGTTTATGAGAGTAAAAAACTAAAACACTTTTCTTCCAAAATGTTGAATTATTTTATCATGAAGCATGTTTTATGCATGTTTTATAAGTGTCTATGTACACGACATGTACACAATGTCATGAGTATAACTAAAACACTTTTCCTACAAATTGTTTTGTCTTGGAGCACTTTCAAAAGCAAAAACACAGTCATGTAATGTTTCAAGGTAAAACCCCGATTATATACAGGACACTTTTGTATGTCGTCTAAGGTATGCATCTATAATAGACAATACTTATTATCGACTGTATGCAGCATATTGGAAGAAAAAATGCTCACACACGTCAAATTTATGATAAATTTATACCATGTACCTGTCACAAGTTTAATAACCGATGGAATTAAACATGCTGGTGTTGTTATCAATGTTCGAGTTAATGAGCTGGATGATGCTGCGCTAAACTGGCAATTATTCCCTGTGATCTAATCATTAGATTCAATTTCTTTACAGCTCTTATTCTATTGGCAGAACCTCGGTGTTGAATTCCAATATGGTGATTACCACGCACCTGTGCAAATTTGCTATAATTTAAACAGCTCCTCTAAGCCTCCAATAATACATAACCATTCAATTGTTATTTAGGAATGTAATAAATACAATAAAACACGTCTTCCATTGAGGCATTTTTCTACGTGTCGTGATTATAAACACTTTACAAAATGTGTGTCTAGTAAAAGCACTTTTAAAAGTGTTGTGATAATAAAAACACATTTTATACATGTCCTTGTGGAAACACTTTAGAAATGTGTGACCAGTAAAAACACTTTTAAAAGTGTTATGATAATAAGCACTTTATATACATGTTTCTGGTAGAAACTTTTTTAAAAACGTGTTTCTAATATGTTATAGGCAAAAACATCCCTGCAAAGTGTTTTCATAATATACACTTCTCGCAATTATGCAGATTATAAACACTTTAAGTGTTTTTAAAGTGGGGACAAGCTTATAAACTTGTTAAATGTTTTATCAAAATACAGTAAGACTGTTTTATTTTAAAACAGTTATGTTGTAAAATAACTCATTTGCGATTTTAAGAAAAACACTTAATGTGTTTAATTATAAATCACTTAAAAGAGATTTTAAAGTGGGGACAAAAATGTGTCACCTAGGTTTACAGTGTATGCTTTGTATGCACGAACTGGGCAAATGTCCTGGGTTTTCGGTGCAGCATACGCTTTTGGTGCAAAGCTCATAGTATTACCAGGCTCCCCGTGACGAGTTTTGGGGAGTTTCATTATACGCTAGAAACTCACCATTTTCGTCACTCTGTGGGACTACATCACCCCATTCCATCTGACGGTGTTCGTTGTTTCCGCGCAAACCGAAAAGCTTTGTGTTGTTATACCACATAGTTTTGATGATGGCTTTTGCGGAGTCTACACCAAGTTGCCCATCAGTAACGACTCCTCTTGATCTTTCGTAATTGGTTGTGATTTGGCTGGCAAATTACCAAATCCAGAAGCCTTCAGATGTTTCCTTTTAGCGGCCAATGTACGGCGACTTGCAGCAAAATGCATCGTCACGAATGATGCTTATTCTGTAATTATTGTCACACAAAGACCGGTCAATCGATTTTTGATACAATGATATAGAGTCCGGCTCATATTCGTCTCCGTTTTTCTTACGAATACCAAAATAAAATTGCGACAGCAAAGCATCTAGCTGGGATGGTGGTATATCCTTCAGGTCACGCTTTTTTGTGTGTCATAGACTTCTTCCAATCATTAAATACAGTTCACGCTTCGTTATCATCGCCTTATTCTTGTTTTTCTGCTCGCGGACAAACGCCGCAACGTCACCAACAGAAACCTCCCAGTACCTCGATGCTGATGGTTCCGGCTCCATAGCAATCGCCGATTTTACCGCGGGTTGATCTTCTGAGAGCCCTTCAGGATAATAAAACTCAGTTTCCAGGTGGTCAACATACATTAAGTTCTCCCAATCGTAGTATTCCATGTGATATGCCAAAAATGTTGCTGGACGATTTGAACCGGATAAAAATAGCAGACGAAAATTTATTTACTAAATAATGGAAATACCATGTCATTTGCATATCGACTGTGAAAATACCGAAAACATTATTGCATGGGTGATATGCAACTTAGTTTTAGTCAAAATAAGTGACTGCCTAAAATTACCATTACTGTTGTTCAAATTTCATTTCACTTGGCAAGTATATTCATGTACCCTAAGGGGAAAATATCGTACTTCTTAATGTTTAAATTTCTGCTATGTTACGGTACTCATGAAGGGCCTACTCTGTTTGCTCTCAGACCTCATTTGCATATGGGGTGTGGAAATACCGATTTTGATTTTTGGGACAAATCGAAATAAACTGCAGTACATATGTAATAATATGAGGTTATTACGAGGATACTGCAAAGTATGCACGAAGACTTTACAGCGGGAGTATCGACCGAAGCGCCCCGTACTGTACGGTGACAGATGTATAATAATTTGTAATATGCGTCAATGTTTTTAAATGATTTATTATACATATTAATGTATATTTTAGTTAATGATACTGCCAATGATCTAACATTGTAGTTCTATCTGAGTATTGTAATTGATATATTTACACTCACGTGTATTTCATTGGCTCTACATCTCAATGTATTCATGGCCTCCTGTACCTGTGGGATTGTGAATGCTGGTCGGCCAGGCTGTTGAATAAAACATTTTTGTTTATCTTCACTCATTTTTTAATGATCATAGATTTTCATAAAGCAAATCGACATAGAAACATGTGTACAAATAAATGTTCGCGATAAGTATGATAATATATTTCACAAAACAAAATTGTGTGCATATGTTTTGTTTCATATTACAAACAAAATAAAAACCGCAATATTTTCAGTGATTTTTATATTTTTCATTGATGATTAGGTTGCATGTTGAATGTAAATGTAATTCTCACCTTGCATATTCCAGCTTTGTGCCATGCTATGCTATCAATCGTGTTTCCTAACAAATTTGTATGATCCAAGTCCAATAAAGTGATGCCAACCACTCTCGGGCTTTGCACAATGTTGGTGCAATCATAAGCGCCACCAACGCCCACTTCAAGAATGACAACATCAACCTAGATACATATTTATAAAATGATTATTGATAGCACACTACGAGGTTAAAACTCGCGACCAGACAATGCGCCTTGTTCTTTCTGTTCCTTCTGATCATATGCACGGAGTTTCAACTTAGTATTTTCAAATAATTTATGTTCATTTGATAATTGTAGATGTAGGTGCATTTTGATCAATATTGCCAATTTCACACCCAAATTGCGGGCTTAAATAGAAAAATCACAGGCAACATCCACTCTTACATTGAAGTGTGTCTAACTGCAAAACAATTCCGTATAAATGTCACTTATTCCGAAACACCTCAATTCTTATATACCATGGAGATTATACAGTGTAGTTTTTGTTTTGTGTTGTTTAGCCTACACCATAGCAATATTCTCGAGGTCTCACCTTTTCATGTATGAACACATTCAATGCCATTAATGTCATAAATCTGAATCCACTCAGCATAGTTTCAGGATACTCGCATTTTGTTGACTCTAATTTATTGTAGACATCAAAGAAATATTTACTGAAAACATCCTTTGTCAGTGTTAAACCATTGATGCGGATTCGCTCACGAAATTCTACCAAATGTGGTGAGCTAGAAATAATAAAGATTATCTTACAAAACAATTTATTATAATTTACTGTCAAACACTTCGACGTAGATATTGCAATCTTAACGAATATGGCTTCATACTAGAATTAGCTCAATTGTAACTTAGCAATCGTTTTATAAAATTAAACATTTTGCTAAACCCAGCTACATCTGGATTGTGCGAAATTACTAGTACACTATAGTTAAATTAGCTAAAATAACGTGTCAGCTGAAACACGTTGGTATAGTATTTTACAACAATGCTACCCGTATTTTTGGCTTTATAAAAACATTCAAATAGTAGTTCAACATTCACAGCTCCAAACATTTGATAAACAATACCAGATTTTGATTCATTGATAATCATTCTTTTTGTACCATGTAATGAATCCAATGAGTTAATATTGTTACTTACCTGTATAATCCTGTTTTGAACCCATTTGCTCGTAATATACTTTCACAAAAAGCAGACACAGAACCTTTACCCTTTGTACCACTTACATGAATTATGTTCAATCCATCAACATCATCAAGCTAATAAGGAAACAACAATGTAAGCATCATCATCATTTTGAATTGAGTATATTTTCAGTTTGAGTATAGGAAATTACACTTCAAATGCGTTGAGATCATTTAATGGTGTATCATGTATTGTCAGAAACCAATAATCTTAAACTTTACTTCTATTTAAGTAATGTACTTTGTTTTTGCTTTTTTGAAAATTATTGCATTGTTGATTATTTTAATTTGGGCTAATGAGACCATAAGAAATACACAGCAACAGGCACTTTATATGTTGTGAAGCAAATATTCAGGATGAAAACCATTATCCCAGTACCCTAAATTATTGAATTCATTGTGACATTGACTGGAGACATTGACTGGAGAAAAAGATGAATACCAATAACATGACAGTCATATTGTTTCTTCTAACACCATTAAGAGTCACCAATTTTAGGAGTATAATACATCAAGCGTCGAGTTTGATTTTTTTAATCTGTGTGAAACATTGTAATTAATTCCAAGAAATCAGGTTTATTGTAAATACTTGAACTCACATTGATATCAACTCTTTTTATGTAGTCACTCATTTCAGGGAGGCTTTTAGTACTGTACCAACTTTTATTGCGAAATATAATCGTACGAGACGCATCACGTACAATACCTTCCATTGCCTTTTGAACTTCCTGTTAATAAATTGCATTAAACAATGTCATATATGATATGTCTTCATGCGAGTTATTATTATTATGACGACACTGAATGGAATTGAAATCAAAGAATAAGGCAGATTATACAAACTAACATCTTGTCAGTTCATTGATCGCAAGATATACCAACCGCGCTAATATTGCTATTTGGTTGGGCATCGACATTGTATTGTACCAAGCAGATGAAAAAATCACGGGCTGCATCTCGGGCAAATACATCATAATTTATAATAACCACACATATATCAAAACTATTATTCACGGTTCAGTACGAATTGTTTAAATAAAATAATAATAATAAATAATATTATTAAAGAATCCTTCTTCAAAATCAAATCACACCAAATAATTGTTCTTCGACATAACTACAAGCGTTCAGTGTGATACCACTCTTGTTCTTGCAGAATTTCTGGAAATGAACAGAAATTGATTATTTTGTAATGGAACTATTGTTATTTAAGATTATATTATTAAAAACAAATTCTTATTCATACTCTACACCTGTCATTATAATAGATTAAATGTTGTGACTGCATTTACTTCTTCAGTTTTTTCTGTATTTTCTGTATTCTCATGTTGTTATTTATTGCGTTTTTATTGTAATTTTGACTAAGCTTTCAGAAATTCTACATTTGAAGTCCCAACTGTAAATCGATTCCCTGTTAGCCTAGTTCATCAGCGCTTGTTTTGAACAGAATGTACCCGTTTTTTTTACGATGTGTCCCATGTCTAGCAAAACCACATTTAATAGTTACTGCATATCAACGTGTTGTGTCATAAATAGAGGTTTCACGCTCCCAGTGTTGATTTGGTTATCGCCATTCATATTGAAATATTCTCGTAATGTACACCTTTGTATACAAATATTTATTAATCATATAATGTAAACCTTTGTATACAAATATTCATCAAGCATATATGTACATTTTATAGACGAATATTCAACAGGCATAAAATGTACACCTTTGTAGACTAATATCCATCATGCATATAACGTACACTTTTGCAGAGAAATATTTATCAAGCATACACTGTACACTTTTGTAGACGAATATTCATCAAGCATATAACGTACATTTTTGTAGGCGAATATTCATCAAGCATATAATGCACACTTTTGTAGACGAATATTCATCAAGCATATAACGTACACCTTGTTGACGAATATTCATCAAGCGACAAAACAAGCGTACACTTTTATACACCCACATTCACAATAAAACCACTACATCGTTGATTTAATGCGAGTCTTCTGTGGCGTAAATAAGTCAACGCAGTCGGTACACAGCAGGACAGTTACTTTTAATCGAAAAAAGTCTTTACCGTGGACGCAAACTGGCACTCACATACACTTACTCGACTGTTAGGACAGTGAAAGCCACTCACATAGAGCCAATCCATGCCAAGAATCGTTTTCTTCAGAATCACTGAACACATTGATCTGAAATTTGTTTTTTACCATTTATATGTAAAGCTTAGTAAAGTTTGGTCAGTAAAGTGTGTTTTTTTCCCGAAAGAAATTAGTTTTATACTGAATGTCACAGTTACATGCTTGCATTTTATCATATACCTCGTATTGCCCGGCCTCCTAACGCTATGGGAATCCCGATGCGGGAGTCGTGCAACAATTTTCCATAAAACGCCCGAGCCTCCGTTTACCATATTTGGTAAACGCGTCTACTTTCTGTTCACAAACAATTTGAGTTTATTGTCTGTGCTTCGATAATGGCTGACGATATTATTGATGGGAAATATACCAGTTGGATTCATTATTACCCCGACGAAAGCCGGCATTCCACCAAAACAAATCATAAAGATAACTGGTCACAAAAACGTGTCAAGTTTACAACACTACGATACTGTCTCCGTGGAAGATTATCAGCGCTCGAATCTAGAACTGTAAACCAAACTGCTTCTTGTCCAGCAATTGTTTCTCGTTCACCGACTACATGTTTTAACAACTGTGAAATCAACGTTTCTCTACCTGCGGCTACAACATCAGCTCCAAGAAAACGTCCGTTTGTTATGTATAATTCGGAAAGTCGTGACAAAATTAGCTCGACTGTAGTGTTCATTCTTAACTGAGACAACTAATACTTTTATTAGTTGTCCGAGTTCTTAAGAAAAAAAGTTTATAATGAGTTTGTA